GCAATTTTTTTTGATGTCCAGAGATTGTTTTGTATCGAGCATTTTTCATAGTTTCAAATTTTCGAAATCTATTGTAAAAAATTTACCAGACAAGAAATTTTCGTTATCAACCAATCTTATTTTATTTGTCGGGGTAGGGGACATCAATGTAAATTGTATGTTTATTAATTCATGGCTGTGTCAATTTCTGTATATAATGTACCTTACTATATTTCAGTTTAATATGTTTCACACTTGCTAACTCTAGGTGTCACGATCTTTGTATCCATATGCGCATTTCACAATGCGCCTCGCGGTCCGACACATTATGACCTCTCCATTTCTAGTTCTATCATAGTCATAGGTATATCTCATTCCCTGTCCCACTACCCTTTCGTTCTCGTCTTTTTCTAATGTAACATGTTCATTGAGGTCAATTAGGGGTCGAGTTATACAGCAGAAGGAAAAATCTCTGCGGCGGACCGAGCGGCGGTGGCGGCTGTACAGACACGAAACCATAGTATCCCTGTCGACTTCGTCGCGGGGGATACAAAAATACCACTGTGCAGTTGTTTGTTTCTTTTTTTCAGTCTCAAAATAAGAAAGTACACGGTTAATTTGTCACAGTCTCACAGAGATATGTGCCTGTGAGTCTGTGACATCACATCACATCTGTCAGCATATAGTTTATCATTGACTATCATTCATAGTTTCAACAGACAATGTATGAATGCAATTGTCACCACATCATTACAGATTAATACAAGGCAAGAGCTGGATTCAGCTGGTATTATTGTCAAGTTAAATTTAAATATGAATGAAAGTGTCAACAGTTTCTAGTTCTACTCTCTGTTGTATGAATCTTATTATCAATTGTATTTTATTATGAGTCAGCGGATGATCTAGCCAGCGCCAGCTGCAGCAGATACATAAGCTGGGTTTACACTGACGATTTTGAGTTGCCGAATTGTACGAACTTGGCAGTTTGGCAACTGACAATCGCCAGTGTAAACGCAAAAGTCGCACGTCCAGCCGATCGATAGCAGTGAGTCGGAAGATTAGAACATGTTCTAATTTCCCTAACTCGGAGCAGGCGAGTTGGACGTTTTTTTGACAAGTGGCCAATCAGACAACAGCAATCAGGGGTGTGTCCCTCCGGACTACCCTAGGGGGAGAGCACGTTTTTGCTTTAGACGCCACGCTGGCGGCATGTAATACATGCAACAAGAGCCGCAGAGCGTCTGGGCTCATCTGAGGTCTGTTGCTACAGTTATAAACATAACATTTATGTCGTGCGTAGTGACACCTTTGTTAGGCGCAAATAATGCAGATACGCAGTTGCGTACACCTCATTTCAGCAACCTTCTGCATTCTGCATACCTCCCAAATCCCATTGGTTGATACAAATCGCGTGCCTGAAACTCCTGTTTTATGGTGCATTGTGACCCTAATCCTAACCCTATTAAAAATAATAAAAAATTAATTGTTGTAAAAATCATTTGTTGTTATTAAATTGTTGTAAATAAATCATGTAAATATTTGCATTAATTGGGAAAAAATAGTTAAATGGATAAAGATAAAAAAATACAGAAAACAGGTAAATAATAAAAAATCAGATGGGATTTGATCCAACGACCTTTGAGCCGTGATGCCTGTGCTATATGCGTTCGGCTATCCAGGCTTATTGGGTTTCTAGATTATGGATGTGCCATGAATATGACAACACTGTGACGTCATTGAGGCAGTTCAGGAATCCACGTTTAACCCTCCTCTTGAAGGTCAAAAGGTTATCAGACACATACTCTTCGCACGTCAGTGGAAAGCACATTTAATGGTCCTTTCAATAAAGTGATAAAAATGGTAGGTCAGCGCTGAAACAAAAAAGTTTTTCACTCTGTCCATTAGACCATGTCCTCAGAAAATGTCTGATATCTGACCTTTCCCCCATGCACTGCCCTTTGACCTCCAATTTCGCACTGGTGATTGGTATGGGTGATGGTGCCCATCACACTATACACCAAATATTAAGAGCATCACGGCTCGCGACGCCCCGGACGTTTAATTTGTGGCGCATTCCAGTGATGTTCCTCCATATCCTTAAGTTAAGCGGGGAAATATTTCCCCCTCGTTTACGACATCTTGACCTTTGACCTTGACCCCCCCAAATATAACGTAAGAGCTTTTGAAACTATATATATAAGACGTTTGGTCAGATAAGCAAGAAAAACGCCAACTTGACTGCATTATAATCGTCAGTGTATAAGCCAGCTTAAGCCGCTGCTGCCATGCACCTGTGTATAGGCGCTGTTGTACGTACGTAGCTTGTGTACATTCACATCTTAATCAGGGCACACGGGAGGCGATTTTTCTCTCGTTGCGATCGCTCCCGTTATTGTTTCTTACCAGAGCGATTTTAGAGCTTACCCGGAGCGAAATTGCTCCGTCGCTGACCGTGTATTGTTTCCCTGCCAGTGGAGGGTCACTCGATGTAAGCAGCAATTAAGGCAGCAAGTTCAAGGTTTCTGAATATTCACCTAGTTCAAAACCCCGTAGCGAACACGAGTGCAATATCCATTATCATCGGGATAAGCCATCACATTGAATGTTTTTAATCATTTATGAATTTTTTTTTTCAGCTGACATTGACACCGCAATTTCTAAGTCTACGTTCAAGGTGTTAATAGCACTTATGGTTGCTATTCTCATGCATGCAGCAGATAGAATTCTAATGCTGCGCAATATTTAATCTAGCTAATCCGAGTTCCGGAACACCTACTCCCTCTGTGGACTGGTCACTTCTATGTTGTGTCATTCACCGTCTCTCTATATAGCCATCAATCTCTGTGGAAGCCTTCTATGTTCTGTACCTGAAAGATAGGCCTGGCATTGTAATCAAGGACAGGCGATGACGAACAACACACAAGCCACGCCGAGCGCGCGCCGCCCCATTTAGCTGCGCTCTCGGTGTGCAGGACCAATTCTGCTAACATTATCAACATAATTGTAAGCCATTAAGCATATATATATAGTAGCTTTATATCCGTCCAAAAGTAAGTACTAAGAAATTATAAAATGAACTTATAACGTTCATGTAACTTGTAAATTAATATCAATATAGACAGATAAAATGGATAGCTGGTTGGGATGGAATGAACCGATGGATAGATATAGCTAGATAGGTAGTACGATAAGATTCAGATATAGATATGACAGAACTGATTAAACTGAAATTGAGCATCAAGTAGTATAACAGGCTTGGGTATTTGACGATTGTAATCTGACTTCAATTATTTAATGAAAATGAAGCCATATGCGAGGTCTCCAGCAATTCAACAGTACATCAATGGTAAACCATGGCTACAAGTATGTATATTTTAATAACTCGCCGCTTGCCACCAACACGTACAGCTGTAAGTAATCGCCGCCGCAGCACTGCGCCACCAAATTCGCCGCTCTGGCATATTAGCACGTTCTCGACAACATGTAGGCCATCACTAAACAAATATGTGTTGTTTTGGCCCTCACCGACTGACCCGCAAAAAGGCGGCCGATTCACCAAAAATTTTATTTACATTTCTCCATTCTTTTTTTTTTGACATATTGTATCGCTGTACATTATATACAATGCTGTATGGCAAACAAAACAATCATTAGACTAAAAAGGTAACTCCACAATATAAGCACATCGCCAATGCATGTATACGCCATGCGAATTTGCAAAACAAAAGACAAACAAACGTTTTTTTAATTGTGCCAACTGAACTCTACATGATCTGGTCACCATCGTTAATTCTGTATCTGGATTCGTGTCGCGAACCCCCAGCCTCTCTGCGCAGAATTATCAAATTTAAAAAAGTAGCTTACTTCTACTTCTACTTACTTCATCTTCTACTCTACTTCCATATACATGCTTTACAGCAGTGGTTTTTTGTGCTGATAAAAAACGGGCTCTTCTCTCATATGACTGGCATTTCTTGCTAATAAAAGGCGGAAATAGATCCACATATTTATTGTCGCAGTCTTCCTAATGAATAATTTTAAATTTTACAGTATGTCTAAACATGAAACTTATTTTCTGTTTCGATAATGCAGATAACAAGAGCCGCAGAGCGTCTGGCTCATTCTGAGGTCTGTTGCTACGGTTATCAAACGTAACAATTAAGTTGTGCGTAGTGACACTTTTAGCGCAGATATCAGATATGGATTCTGCGTACACATCATTTTCAGCCAACCTTCTGCATTCTGCATACCTCCAAATCCCATTGGTTTGATGACAAATCGCCGTGCCTGAAAATTCTTGTTTTATGGTGCATTGATGACCTTAACCCTAACCCAAAAAAAAAAATTATTCTGCTTGTTATTATTGTTTGTAATAATTCATGTAAATATTTGCGTGTTAATTGAAAAAATGTTTAAAATGATAAAGATGAGAAATACAAAAAACAGGTAAATAATGAAAATCAGATGGTATTCGATCCAACGACCTTTTGAGGCCGTGAACGCCAGTGCTGTAGCGCTTCGGCTATCCCAGCTTATTGGGTTCTAGATTATGGAATGTGCCATGAATATGACAACACTGTGACGCATTGAGCAGTCAGGAATCCAATCGTTTAACCCTCCTATGAGGGTCAAAAGATTTATCAGACCTATACTCTTCGCACGTAGTGGAAAGCCACATTTCATGTCCATTGTCATAAAGTGATAAAAATCGAATAGGTCGGCGCTGAAACAAAAAAAGTTTTTCACTCCTCGTCATTAGGCCATGTCTCAGAAATGTCGATACTGACTTGTCCCACACTGCCCTTTGACCTCGTGACCTCCAATTTCGCACTTGGTGATGGTTTCCTCCCATCACACTATACACCGAATATTCAAGGGCATATGGTCAAGCCGTTAAGATTGCGCAATTCCGGTTTCTTCCTATACTTAAGTTAAGGGGAAATTTCCTCCGTTTAACACCTCTGACTTTTGACCCTTACCCCAAATTTGTGCATTCTGAGTCCCTTTTCACGTCCCCCCCCCTCCCCCGACGTTCCGAATATCGTGACCATCTTGTCGAGCTGGTTAAGATTTCGTGCCCACTTGTTGATACGGACGCGAACGGACGCACAGACGCACAGACGGCAATCAGGACGCACGCACAGATCATGCGATGCTATCTACGACTACGTCAAGATGACCATGGATGAGCTAAAAAGTGAAGGCATCAAGAATGTGCCAATTAATTTGTTTGGCTTAAATTTGTAACAAAAATACGAAGAGAAAAAGATGTTCTTTTCAAAGGCAGCATTATTGTGGCCTTCTTTTTCTTATGTTGGCTGGACATTGGCTGGCTTCAGTTATGCTGGACTTCTTGTGGTATTCTTTTTGTTTTTTCAACCAAAGTAAAACACTGCCACGTCAGGCTAGAGTGTATTTATAAATCAAGCTGAACATGTGGCTATTTGTTTGTATATATACAGCACTGGCCTGGTACTATCTGTACCAGAGCTTCCTGCATGTAGATCAAGAGCTTATAAACTGTAAACACCTCAAGTATCCTGGTATTATTAGCCCTTGATGTAGATCTATATTGGCTCACACATGCTGGTGCTGTAGCAATGACTTCCTGGTGATCCCCAGCTGCGAGACTGCAGTAATGCACACTAGTATATTATTTACGGTGACCCTTGGCAAGTTGGCTGACTATCCTTGTATTTTTTTCACAGCATTGGGACTCTGTTTACGACTGACAAGGGTCAGAGATTAGATGGTTTTTGGACTCACTGTCACCACACAAGTCAATTTAGTATATATATGTCTATTGTGCTACTCAAGGTTGTCCTAATTTTACAAATACATGACGGACGAACATGCATGCAAGCACATACCAAGACTGGACCATCTCTACTGATGGCATCTGAAGCAAGTTCTCTGGCAGCAAATTGATCTCTTTCATGATGTTGGCCAGTCTTACAGGAAGTTCTTTCCGTAGGAAGAGAAAAGATGTCAGCTCACAGCCCGTCTTACCTGTAAAATTGCACATGTTGGGTATTTTATATTGGCTATGTAATATATTATGGAAATTAGTAAAATCACTTGTAATGGCCCAGTCACAGATACGCGACGCACGGCCCGCGCATTGAAAAAATGGAAAATAAGATCAGTGCGTCGTTGTGCGCCCAACTTTTGTCAGGATTTGGGAGAAGCTAGCGAGTTGACAACGAATGCACAGCGTGTTGCTAGCGCGCTGCGCGTCTACAGGGCGCATACAGAGCGCATACAGAGCGTATACAGGGCGCACATGTTAAAAAATCCAACGAATGCACAGACAGGATTCTCCAAGGGCACTTATAGCCTGGCGGCCTGCCAGGCTATCGGCGAGCCCCGCCATCCTAAAATGCACCCGCCACGCTAACTATCATAGCCGCCATGCTAAATATCATAGCCGCCATGCTAAATATCATAGCCGCCATG